AATCTGCTCCATCAAGGAACCAACATGCTTATCTTTAACAGCATAATTATTATTTTTTTAAATGTAACTTCTATTTTTTATTAAACTTCTTATTTGGATTATCATCTCTTTGTGAATTATGTCTTTCAAACTGACTAGGAACCTGCCACCGCTCATTTGGCATTATTGTCCGAATCTTCTTTCTAGCGAATCACTTTAAAAACGAGTAGTCAATATATAGCATTCAATTTGTACAGATTTTCAATTAATGAAGCTTGACATAAAGTTTTTTATAAATAAAATGAGGTTTGAGAAGATAATGAACATTTCTAAATTTCTAAATTTTAATGTTTTTCCAAATATTTAAACAGCTAGCAAAAAATTGTTAAACTCAGATTTTCTTATCAATTATAATAGCAGATTATATTTTCAAGATGATTATTAAAAAACTGACTTTTTTAAATTTGTAGTTGTCCGCCATTTATTAAAAGGAGTTATGAACGATGTAAAATCTAAACAGTCAGCAAAATATGATTTTATTGCTGATGACTTAGTGAGAGCAAACAATGAAAGTCGTAAAGCAACATTAATAATTTAAATGTATTTTCCAGGATGGACAACTTTATTATTATTATTATTTTATTTTTTTTCACTTTCGTCCTTTCCTAATAAACCATAATATATTTTCCACAATATTTCTCCTGATTAAACATGGATTTCATCTTTAAAATCTTTAAAATTCTAACGTCGCGAAATTACCATTTCGCGACGTTAGAATTATATTGTTCTCCACAGTTTTTAGTTTTGAGATAAAACGATTTAAAAAATAAAAACTTTAGGGGATAGCGTATAAATTTTTTTTTATAACTTATGTTTTTTACGCAACTTTTTTACTTATAACTTAGATTTCAATTCAGTAGAAAGACATTGTTTTGAGGAACACAACACAATCATTAACTTAATTTTTTCAGAAAGTGGAGATAGAACAAGATAATTCTAACGTCGCGATTTGACTGCATATCTAGTTATAGATTTTCCGCATTTTCATTTCATCCATCCGTAAATACAAATTTAAATATGCTCTCGCAATATATTTGCTTTTTAATTTTTTGAGTCATTATCCATACAAAAAACAAGAAAAGTTTTAATAAAATTGAGAATCATTAACTCAAAGCTTAATTAAGACAAACATAAGGGAAACAAATGGCGGATATTTTTTTCAAAATGTACTAATTTTTAAAATACCTGGACGATCATTGCTTTATGAGATGATTTCACTGAAGTTGCCAGTTATATTTTTAAAAAATGGAACAAAATATGATTGAAAATAGTTTGAAATATGTTGTGAATTACTTTGCACTCGACAGTGTCAAAAAAGGGTCAACTGATTACAATTATTTATTATTTAAATAAATTGGCCAGAGGTGGGCTAACAACTCCATCATTACTGTTTTTGAGTATGACGGTGAAAGATTCTCTATGCTAGATCACGTATTTGATGTTATTTATCAATCTTAAATCCAACACTATAAAGCAGAAAAATTTGGTTCTTGATAGTAGAGAAGGTTATCAACCTTTTTTTATGTTCAAATCACTAAAATTGCGGAAAATAAATCATAAACATTGTTGTTTTAAATACTTGTTTTAATAACACTAGAAAGAGAACCAGTAATTCAATTGCTGCCTTTAGAAAAAGACAGAGAAAATTAAAAGTACTTCGTTTTTAATCAATTCTGTTGGTTTTTTTTAATATACTTTTAAAGTTTATTTTTGAGAATTTGGGTATTTTTGTTTTTTGTACAGTAATCTAACCCATACTTTTTTCAAAACTATTACGGTTAATAAATGCGGTGTTATTTTCAATAAACACACCATTTATTAAACGTCATAATTATCTATTACTAAAGGTGAGTTTCCACTTATACGTTTTTCTAAGTGACCTAGCATGTAGAAAAAGATTCAGGATTCAAAAAACTTGATATATTATGATAGCTAATATGTCAGCCTATAAATTAAAGCAGTTTTAATGGTTTTTTATTTGTTAAATACTTTGGTATTTGCTCTAAAGTAAACATTTAAATTATAAAAATTTGTAGTTTTTTTTGTTTTGTAGGAGCCTAGAAGCCGTATCAGAGAATAAGTTAGCAAAATATATTTTCTCTATTACCTATGGATTATAACAAGATACTGAAAAATTTTTTTTTTATCTCAAGTAGTTATAAATCTTTATAACACCCTTATAAAGAAAAGAAGTATTATTGTTGTTTTTGGGGTACATTTTATAGAATTCACTTTATAGACCATGTTTTGAAATAAAAAACAACAACGATAAATTACCATCGTATTTGATTTTTTTTAAAGAGAATAATATATATTTATCTTAAAAACAATATTTGAACACAACAGTAATAACACAGATATCTATAATGGCTGCAGACTTTATAACATTATTATAACAATAGGTTACTGCAACAATTTTAAGATGACACAGATAAATAAAATAATACTTTAACTGATTACTTTAATTCAAAAAAAGATTATTGATTGTCGTTGTATTCGTTATAATGGTCGTATATCAGTCTTTTAAATGTGGAGAAGTGCTGGTTTGCTGGTAAAAGCATAACCGGTTTAACACCATCAACTCTGCAACTCACTTTGCTGCAAATTGAACGGAGAACATCAAGACAATTAGGACATTGCTTTAGGTCAAAAGCTTAACATTTCCTTTGTTTGCCAAAGCATTCAACTTTACATTTAATAAGTTTTTCTTTAGCTTCTTCTTTCTTTTTTTTGGCTTCCTCCTTTGCTGTTATCTTTCGTCGTTTCTCTTCTTTTATATCATTTGCGTTTGCTGCAACATCTTTGCTGCAATATCTTTGCTGCAACATCTTTGCTGCAACATCTTTGCTGCAACATCTTTTGCACGCATTGAACAGTAGACCTGAGTAACACGAGTAGATATTTTTTCAAGATTTGGTTGATTTTCTTATAGTTAGCAGATCAGGAATATTTTCGAGTTGGAAGCTTTGCTCAGCCATTTCTCTAACCAAGATTTGAGATGCAGCAGCTCGCTCAAATTTATCTTGTTTCATAAAGTTAACATTTAATTCAAAAGGTGTTATTCTCTTTTTGTACTAGAAACAAGAACCGGTTTCGATGCCCATTTCTCCCATATATTGCCTAAGATGGTCATAAATCCCTCTCGATTAATTAATTGCATTGAGTTTAAAAGATATTTCTCGGCGATTCTGTACTCATGATGAAGATTTTTATTAACCTGGTCAAGCAACTGAGTTACACCAGTAGTGTCGGGAGGAGAAATAAATAACCAAATTTGTTTTGAAAGGAGGTATATTAAACCATCGTAACTGAATTGTGAACTATGTCCGTCAGACAAGGCCGGCGCGTTAAGGGGTGCGAGGGGGTGTAACACCCCCCTCCTTCCCATCAACGATATTTAGTTGGCAAATTTGACCATTTTTGACTTGTTATTCGGCAAATTTCGACCCTTTCAATATAGGTTAGTCGGTAATTTACATAGTTAGTCGGCAAATATCGTCATGGTAGTCGGCAAATTTTCGAAAACGAGGACCTTTTTTTTTTTCTTTTTAAGACAAAAGTTGTAATGGCACCCCCCCCCCCCCCACACACACACGTGACACCTACTCGTCAGATTATAAACCAACAAGTCGTTCTATTGCCGTCTCAGTAAGGTAATCATCAAATTTTGGCACTGCCTTTTCTAATTGTAAATTCTTTGCATCTGTGAACTTTCTCCCGATTGATGCCTCAGGCTTACTTTTTCCACGAATAGATTTTAATTTTTCCTGTCGGAGCTGAAATTTCTGCATCATTTTCTATGTTATTTTTTTCTAATTCTTTTTTATTAAAAAAATTATCATTAAACATTTTAGAGTACATTAGTCGCTTACAGAACATATCTAAATACTAAAAAACAACTTTACAGTAAAAATTTAAATTATGCTCTAGGTTCAAACACAATAAGTTTTAATAAATTCTTGCAAATTATGTTCTAAAAATGTTATTGATTTTTGATACGTAAAAAACACGATGCAAGCTTTGTTTAAAACACTGCAATGACATCTTTAGAATCAAGAGGTTACATAGCGATGGCTTAGTACACAGATATGGAAGTACAGATTTTGGTCAAATTGAGATAAGTACGCAGAAAAACGTGTTTTTATTTATACTTTATCGTGCATAAATATGGTATGTGTACGATAAACGATAAAGAGTCTACTAATTGACAATATGAGGTAAATACAAAAACTCTTCTTATTATAATTACGCGCGCAAATGACAGTTTTTAATCTTGCACTTACCACATCTGTGCACTATGCCATCGATAGAATCAATATAGTAAAAAGCGAGAACACATGTATAGCTTATAAAATGTTATTTTAAAAACATCAACGTTGTTTTTGGGGTACCTATCTTGTGGTTTTTGTGTTTCATCGGGTATTTTCTCCAAGATTAAGTTAGCAGTAACTGGTTTTATTAATAGCAAATCAAATAATATTAGGACACGCCAAATTTCAGCTTCACTAGTTGCAGAGATACAATCGATAAATTGAATGCGGTTTTGTTTTTTTTTGTATGGGGTACACATACAAAAAAAAACAAAAGTTCAGTTAACAATAACAACAAAGCTGTTTCTTAAAAATTATTCAAACTAATTGGGAAGAACTGATTTAAACAACTCTAAACACATTCAAAACAGTTTTTCTCAAAAGCAAATAGTAAAAAAGTTATTGAGATTTTTTTGGTGTATTTGCGGTACGTATACCACCAGTGCCAGATTTACTGAAAGTTTATAGAGCAATAATAAAAACATTTTGAGAAAATTTGTTCATTAGACAGAATATGCTTTTAATTGGCTTTCTATTTTTTTTTTTTTAATTTAAACATAATACAAGGGCGTGTATTTGAGTAGGCCGTTGTCTAAACTTTATATTAGAATCGGTGTATCTTGTATATCTGGTCATAAAAAACACAGCATGTTTAAAATAATTTTACAATTAAGCATAATTTTCATTTTATTACATACTTTAAATAACTATTATTAACCACCACCGGCAAGAGATGCCAAAGCAGCTGAACTAATGCGTGATTTTGGAGGAGGTTTCTTTTGTGATTTTGGATTAACCTTTTTCTGTTTATCGGCTGATTTTTCACTTAGCACTAACACATTTTTGTTTAGATTTTGAACATTCATACATTGATCCCAATCATTTTGACTTGGAGGATTACAATAAGCACGGTTGCTATAGCGATCAGGATTTTCTTCTCTTTTAGTTTCGCTTACTTCTTCTACGTACCACGAACCAGTTTCAAGAGCAGCACCAAAGACACAAATATATTTGTTTGTTCCATCATAATCTAAGCAAGGCAGTCTGCACTTGATAGCTCTGTTTTGAACTTCACCATAACAATCATCAGAATAAGCAAATCGAACTTCTTCACTTAAAATCATTTTTGGACACTGGCATCCAGCCTCAGCCATTACCTAATAAAAATAAAACAAAAAATTCTGAACCAAACACTAAATCTGAACATGAAAGAAGAAATACGATATAAACCAATTAAAAAAAAAACACAAACACAGTAAAATCCTGATTTAGAATGTCAAATTTTAAACCTTATTTTAAATTTATTTAAACTTTCAGTTATTATTTATTTATTTAGCATAGGAAATAGCATATAATTTTTATTATTCTATGCTGTTATTTTTATAACAATGACACATGAGAAAAAACTATATTTTTTAAACTAAAAACTACAAGTCAATTCAAATACATAAAAACTTGAAGTCAATTCAAAACTTCAAGTCAATTCAAATAAACTATATATCATACAATACTCGTGGCATTTTCTTTAGAATTTAAAAATCATTTAATGTAATTAAAAATGATAAAAAAATTAACCATTTAATTAAAAGCCCTTAGGTGAAGCTCCAAACTACTCAATATCTGTTTTGAAAATAAATTTATACACAACTACTTAAAGAAAAAAATTATTTAAAAAAATAACGTTCTGCAATCAATTATATTGAATTTAATAGATTTTGCAAAGTAAAGAAAAACTTGCAAGGAAGTGGTCAGAATTTTTTGAAAAAAAAGAATAAAAATTATGAAAAGAAAAAGAATATTACACAGTATTTTTTGATGTTGAAAATATTTTTCAATCAACCATATTTAGTATAAGTGAAATATTATGAAAACAGAGAATAATGAGCAACTACTTTAGTAATTTAACAAATTTAAAACAAAACTAAATTGCTATGTTAGAAAGCTAATCGAAAATCCCAAGAACATCCAGAGCAGTTTTTCTGTTTTATGAAATTTGCTTTATTAATTGCAGAACTTCTATTTAAAAAATCCTAAATTATAGGACTTACTAAGACATAAATCATGGTTTATGCTGGTACCAGCATGTCATGGTTTATGCTGGTAACAGCATGTCTAGATAAACTGGGTTTAGTTGAAAAAAAAAAACGTTTATTATTTTAGCTGTTAACTGAGGAGAAAAAATTGAAAAGCCTTTACAAATTACAATAAAAATTAAAAAAAAAATTGTTGCAAAAAAAAAAATCAAGTGAAAATATGATTTATTGAAGATTTCTTAGTTTTACAGATAAAATGGCAATTTAACAAAGATATTAAGAGTTCATAATTTTAAAAGTGAACCATGCATAATACCATCACTACCACCACAGCTATGCATAAAAGTTTAATCAAAGTATAAATTATAATCTTTTCTATTTCTTTTTTAGTTAAAAAAAAGATCTGAAACAAAAAATTACTTATTTTTTACTTTCAAATAAAACCATTTAGCAATTATACAATTAATATAATTATACAATTAATATCAATATTTAAAATAAGTAATTAAAAAAAATTAAATAATCGAAAAATAAATTGCCTGTAAAAATTGAAAGGTTTTCAAATGAAAAGTATAACTCGCTGTGATGTTCAGGGTAAAAACAGAAAATTCAAAAAAATTAACACAAATTTAATATTTAAAGTGTCCCCCTTTACCTTGATAACAAAGAAAAACTCGTCTTTAAATTGATTTGACCAATTCAATTCACATACTGAAAAACAATACCTTTCAAAAGTTGCTTTAAATGTGCAATTGATGGAGTTTTTAAACTGATTAAACAATCCATGACCAAATATTTCTGATAGGGAATTTACTGGAGCCCTGTTTTTTCATAAAGATGCATTGTTCATTTCTGCTTTATTGATGTAATTTAAATATTATCCTTGTAACCCAGCTTTTACGCAGCTCATACATTAAAATTTTTGTGAGAAAAAACGTCTTTATATGCCTACTGAGCCTCCACCCCAGTATTACCTTGCTTGTAAATAGTGCTTGCTGCAATTCTCAGTTGCAAACCTTTTAATATAGATTTGTTCTTTGTGGATTGCAACCTGAAACATTAACTCATCTCTTCAAATCACTTTTCCCAATCTTCTACTACTTAATGCAAAAATTATATGTATAATTTTTGTCTTTAGTATCGATTCATAATTTTTTGCCAACTTCTAAAAAGTACTTAAATTTTGATTTAAAATGAATTGGTTGAATATTTAAGAAAGCATTTTGTAACTAGTATTTGTTCTGTGGGTTCTGAATACTTTTGTCACAGTAACTAAGTTTTGATATTTTCCAGGACAAGAGAAGGAAAATAAACTTCAATTCTATTTCCATAATATGAGGAAACAAATATTTTGTTATGAAAAACTTGATTAAAATTTTGTACATTGATACAGTTATGAAGAGTTATTTAACTAAAGATCAACCTACTTTAAAAAAACTGATTTTATATATATATATATATATATGTATGCATATATATATATATATATATATATATATATATATATATATATATATATATATATATATATATATATATATATATATATATATATATACATATATATACATATATATATATATATATACATATATATATACATATATATATATATATATATATATATATATATATATATATATATATATATATATATACATATATATATATATATATATATATATATATATATATATATATATATGTATATATATATATATATATGTATATATATATATATATATATATATATATATATATATATATATATGTATATATATATATATATATATATATATATATATATATATATATGTATATATATATATATATATATATATATATATATATATATATATATATATATATATATATATATATATATAAATGTAGATATATTTATATTTTATTCACCATAATAAGGTTTTTCTTCTGCCTTTTCATTAAACAACATAATATATTAACTACCGCATACAACATTGCACTAGATGTTATAATCAATTATTTATAACTATATTATTGTTATATTATAATTTAATAAAATTGATTCAAATTATATACAAAAAGTGCAAAAATATGTTAACTTTAACCATGATTTAAAAAATAGCATCAGAAATATTTTGTATGTAAATAGTTTTATTTGTAACTTGTTTATAGAATAATTGTATATTTATAAAAAATAAGTTGTATTACTTCTAAGCTCATTAAAATACTTGCACATAGTGTATCCTTTTGCTTTTGTTTTTTAGATTTATGTCTAGTGAATATAAAATCATCTTTTTTTTACACTATCTTTTATTAAAAATCAGCAATAAAAACAAACTTCAAACAACTATTTAGTAGCAAATAATATACCATACATACTATGCAAAATTATGTATTTGTCTTATAAAGTACATCAGTAAAGAAGAAATACTGGGGCTAAAAACAGTTATTTAGCATTTAACATTCCTAAGTCAAATACACACAATTTAGTGTCAAATTGATGAAAGGACTAATTTCTAAGAAAAACTAAATTCATTAAAATTTTACTATTAAAACTATTAAAAATTTAGCCACATACATAAACATTACCTTCTCAATTAACTTTTTTTATATTAATTATTCAACATCTATATCAAGTATAAAAGTATCCCCCCCCCCCCAAATAGGAGGTGTGGGGCCTAGCAATTTAACAGCAACCCAATTCAGAGAGTACAATAAAAATCATAACTCTGAAGTTCAACTATCTATAAAAATGTCCATATATACAGGCCTCAGCGGGAAGAAAAGGCTTTAGCCCTGGCTCTTGCCCACTTTATAATTGTTATTTTATATTGAATTAAATTTTTCGATTTCAAGTAAAGCAGGATAATATATATTAATAAAATATATTTACAATAATACTAAATATTATTGTAAAAATATTTTATTAAGTATTATAAATGTGAATATATTTATAACATAAATATAAAGTTATAATAGATTTAATAAAAAATATATATATATATACATATATATTTAAAAATATATGTATATATATATCGTCCGGGATAGTGCAAAACCGCGTAACTAGCATTCGATAATACCGCGTATCTACAGTACATTTTTTTTACTGGAGAAGTTTAAAACTTTATATATTTTTTATTTTAACTGATTTTGGGTTTATTTTAGTATTATTCATGTTTTTTGTAATCCTAACAATAAATATTTGGTGTTAAAATTAATAATATCCAAATATAGTAGCCAATGCTAGTTACGCGGATTTGCACTATCCCCAACGATATATATAAATATATATATATAAATATATTTATATATATATATCGTTCATGTTTTTTATATATAAATATATAAAAAAAACATGAACAAATGAATATAAAAAACTGTTAACCTCATCACAGTTGCTCCCAATTAAGCTATTGTAAAACATAGTCATTCGTTCAATCGTAGAAGTCAAGCTTTCTCTTACAATGAGATCAAAATAAAAATGTTTGATATGAGGCAAGGAAATCGAAACATTATCATTTAAAAATGTGTCACTGAAGCTAAATAAAGATATAAATGTATAAATTTACATAAAAAAATATACTTTATGTATGTATGTATGTATGTATGTATGTATGTATGTATGTATGTATGTATGTATGTGTGTATGTATGCATGTACATGTATAAATGTATATATATATATATATATATATATATATATATATATATATATATATATATATATATATATATATATATATATATATATATATATATATATATATATATATATATATATATATATAGAAAATAATACATTTTTTTTTAAGAAAATAAAAAAAAAATTTTAAGAAAAAAAAAAGCAAATGAGCAAAGTTGTGAACACGTGTAGTAAGTAATAGTGTATAACATGTGTAGTAAGTAATAAGTATATAAAAAATTAATAAAATGGTATAATAAAATAGTTACAAACAAAGTTAACATTTTACTAACAAGTTACAACAATTACTAACAAGTTACAACATTTTACTAACAAGTTACAAGTTACAAACAAAGTTAACATTTCACTAAATAAATATTTACAACCACACTATTCTTATAGAAATTATTTCTCTGTTAAAGATTATTTCCACTTTACAATACTGAAAATACTTTTATACGAACATATAGTGGTCAAAACCATATCAAAAGATTAAATGCAAAGTGGTGCTATAATGCACAAAATTCAGACACCAAATTATTAAACAGTGTACAAATTTCACTCACTAAATACAACTTAATATTTGGTTAGCGAAGTTTTTTTAATTTGTAGTAACATATAATCCATTATAACTTTCTACTTGTCTTGGTGGCTTGTCGGAATTGACTTATAATAGCAAAATCAAGGAGAAGTTGACTATGATTTTAAATACTCCTCTGTCTTGAGGCTCCATTATAAATAAAGACTAAAGATAGACTAAAGATAGTAGACTAAAGATAAAGGCTTAATTTAAATACCTCTCAAGTTAAAATGTTTCTTGGCTAAGATAATACTAGGTATTCATAACTCTGCTCATTGATTTTTGCTTCCTTTTTAGTAATGGCTAACTCCTAATAAAGGTACAGGTCTAAAACTCAGTTTAATGATTCTGAGACTCAATGGTAGTAAGATTTTACAAATTTTGTGGTAAGATTAATTAAATCAACAGCTGTAAATATCTGAGTATTAACAGTCCCACGTTGCATATGGGTTCCAATTAGTACTTTTAGTGTGCATTATCAAGACTGCATAAGAATCCATTTGTTATCATTTTGGATTAGCACTAGTAAAACAACTGCATAGCGTATTGCTTGTAGCACAAAGTACCATCTGTTAGAGTCATGTTCTTTCAAATTATATAATCATGGCTATAGTACATAAAAAGACTTGACTCTACCACTATGGTTTTCACCATTTTGTGTAGCTGGTATTTCTGATCATAATTATTTTATTAATATTTGTTACCAGACTACTTATCATGCATTGGTTTTATCTTATAACCTCTCCCTAAGATAAAGCAGATCTCTTAAATCTAATGACATTACTGTTACTATTATAAAACATTCTGTTATTAAAATTACTTTTCACATTAGCTCTAGAGTTTGTGGTTCTGACAACATTCTTTTTACAGTCTTATTAACATTTTCTAAAAAACTACTAAACACTCTCTAAATTATATAACAAATTGTTAAATGAATCTTGTTTTCAAACCTAGTGAAAAAATAGCACTTATAGCTTATAATAAGTAGCTGATGAAATTCATTTGAAAAAGCTACTGAAAAAAGCATTTGGGGTTCTAGCTTTAAAAACTATGAAGATTACACTGATACTTCTAACTACTGTCCAATCAATACTCATGCTTCTATTATCTAATCAATACTCATGCTTCTATCATCTAGTCAATACTCATGCTTCAATCATTCAATCAATACTTATGCTTCTATAATCCAATCAATACTCATGCTTTTACCATCCAAACTTCTAAATATTGGCAGCATGATCTTTGTACTTTTATTTGATACATTTTTGATATCTTATTTTGAATCCTTTTGAATCCAACAAGTTAATCTTTTACAACTAATAATTTCGAGACTCTTGTTCTACTGTTGACTTGTTTAACCAAAACAAAAAAAATATTCTAACATGCATTTGATGGAACCATTATGAAAGAGAAGTTATATCATGCATTTGATGAAACCATAATGAAAGAAATGTTCTATCATGCATTTGGAATTTTGCTCAAGACAAAAATTTTGTCAAAACTTTGCTCATGCTTTTGCAAACTCTGCAAACTTTGCTTAAGACAAAAATTTACAATAGTGTCTGGAAATATTTTGGAATTATTAAACAATTCTTTTTTAACTACAGTATGAAAGTTATTCACTTATTTCCAATAATTTCTGAGGTATCACAAAATTTCATGCTTAGCCTACAACTGCTTTTATTTTTATATTTATAATTTATATTAATGATTTTATTAAATATCTTACTTTTTAAATAACAAAACAAGTAACAAAAATTCATCACTTTTTGATTACTTAGATAACAAATCTTGAACATGATTTTTATTTTGTGATAGCTTGAAGATTGCAGTAGCTTATAAAATTTATCCTAAACACGACTGTTTATTGCAAATAATTATAGCAATATTACAGATACTCTTATGTTGAGAATTGATAAAACGCTCAGCACTCAATGAATCTTTTATTTTGTGTGTTCTATCTTGGACTACTCTCATAAAAACAATGTTAGCATCTCTTGAAGCTTCTCTTTACCATGGTTTCTATTTTTTACCTGATTTTGTTCTGTATCTCTGTAAATCTTTTTTCTGTCTTTTAATGGAATACTACTTTACTCAGGCTATGTTTGTGGGTTATTCTTTTTTAATTTGCTACATCTAAACTCAGGTATAGACAGTAGATTTGCAGCCATAAAAAATATAAAGGTAATTTAAAATCACTTTAAAATATCACTTACTTAAAACAGAGAGCTTGAGCTATGTGTACATTTGTTTTATATGAACTTTGGCATACATGCAGGATATATAAAATTAGTAAATGAACTTAAATTTGAAAATGCATTATAAATTAATCAAAATCAAATATAAATATAACTTCTTTATTTCTTTTCTATCACATACACACACACACACAAAAAAAAAATTGCATTTTTAATTTTTTTACTAAACAACCACCTTAATAATCAGATGCATATTAATAAAAATTAATAAACGGTTAGTAAAAATTTGTAAATTTTAATATTATTGCATTTATTATATTTATTATTATCTTAAATATATTTAACATCTTTCTTAAATGCTTACCTACTGTTATTTTTTTCATTAAAATGTTATTTTATTCATTTTTATTATAGTCCTCACAGCTTATATATATATATAATAAATTTACTAAATATATATAAGAATAAAAAATTATTATACATCAAATAAGTTTTCAAAATTAGTTATTGTGATTTTATTAATTACAATAATCATTTTAATTAATCATTTAATTTAATTAAAACTATTTAAAGAAAAAAACCAACATCTTTTTAAAAAACAGACATGAAAAACATAGATCATTAGCATAACTTATTAATTCAAAAGTTGAAAAAAAAATTCATTTTTAAAATTCTTTTTTTTTATTTAAAATTCAACACCATAATTATAGCCATTAGTTTTAGAATCTTGTTTTTAGGTTGTTTTTTTTTTCTTTATCATTATTATTTTTTTTGTTATTTAAAACTTTTTATCTACATTTTTACTGCAATTTTACACAAGATTACTTTCTCACACTCTTTTTGTACAGCATTTATTATATACTAACAAATTAAAATTACTAAAAAACTGATACTTACGAAAAGTATCCTTGTGTGTCACTTGATTTTTTATATTTAGGAATCATAGAACTATCAAGCAATATGCCTTCAGGGACATCTTTCAAGTTTCCGATACCAGCACCTAAACATAAACATTAATTTAAATATCTAATACAAATTAATGATTTAAACATTAATTTAAATACAAATTAATGACTTTGCAGATTTAAAAGTTGAATTTTGCAGATCTAAAATCACAAAGTGCATCATGACAGGTTTCACTATGCGGTGGAACCTGTGATGTTTGCACACATCTACTGCAGTTAAAGCCATACAAGTTATAGTAATAGTAAATAAAAAATTTGTTATAAAGACTTAAACAATACATAAGATTTTTTTCATACATTAAATACATTGAAATGCATAAAAATGATATTATTCAATTAAATGATTTTGTGGGTTGATTACACGATGTCAAAATATCATATAAAAAAGTACGCAAATATAAAAAATAAAAAATACTACATATAAATATTAAACAATATGACATTAACTAGTAGCAAACTTTGTTATTAAAAAAAGACTTTTAAAAAATAATATATAATAATATTATATTTACTATAACAAATATGTATTATATTATATATTTAAATACATTATATATGTAAATATAATGAAATTTATGTAATGCTGTCTATATTCATTTGTAATTAGTTTCTTGTCCATGGTCCACATTTAGTTAGGTTTCCGTAATGCCATTTTTTAATTTAAATATGACATACCATAAGTATTGAAAAAATATTTTACAAACAAACACTTTTCTAAGGTTAACCTATTTTATAGATCATTTTTATTATGAGTATTACCACACAATTTTAACAAAATCATCCAACCCATACCTCCAACCCATACCTCCAACCCATACCTACATTTAAATTATGTACAATATAAATCAATAATATTGCTTACCTTTTAAGGTGTGCTGATATCTTAACTTATAAAGATGTTTAGCTGCTCCAATAACATCTTCTCTCAGCAGTTCTAATTCATGATGAAGCGCACATTTATTTAATCTCTAAATAAAATGCTAAGATTAGATGAACTTGATCATGAAGAAGAAGAAAAATGATTATGAAGAAGAAAAATGGAATAAAACTTTTTTAGAAACTTAAAACTAATTTTTATTTTGAAACCAAAAACATGTATTTTGCTTATTTTAAGCCTTTTTAACTTTGTTACTAAATTATAACTATAAAATAAAAAATAAACAAAAATCACAAGCTTGTATTTATAATAATGTACAAAAAGAATTATAAATAACTCAAAATCTTGTAGTTAACAAATTGACTATTAAAATTTTTTCCATACTGTACCCATGTGTGATTTAAAATACAAATAAAAATAATTGAAATTAGCTACTAAAAATGTCATAACTTTTTATAGAATTGTTTGATTTTCATAATTTCTTTCAAATACTGTATTTAAGGGTTACTAATGATATATAACATTCTAGTATTTAATTATTAGCACTAACTTATACAAATTTATTCTATGCATATCATTATAGACATTATTGTGCAAAAATACCAAGTGAAATATCAGTGTTGAAAAGCAACAATGAGTTTAAAAATAAGTTTATATAGAGTTGAAAGAAAATATTTTGTAATTTTTTGAAAGTTTTTTAAACCTACAAGCTACTAACAACTACTAACAAAACATTGTTAGAAAATTTAAAAACTTTCTTGCTCAATAAAATACTGCTATTACAGTCAGTTATCATGGCAGATATGGATTTAATAATGCAAGGAGAGTGATTAGAATTACCAATGATATATAAAAGATGGTTTAAATTAGTATTGATATATAAAGGATAGACAATAGTGTTTTTCTGTTTGGTCAGAAAGTGTTTTTTACCAAATTAAATATCGAGGTTTCAACTTTGTTAGTTAAAGCTAATAATAAAAACTGTTAGTTTTTATTATTAGCTTTAGACAGTAAATTATCCTTATAAAATTAACTAGGTTTTTCATAACTCATTGCAATTGTGCTTAATTAGTCCATAAAAACAACCATCATCACTATATCAAGTTCAACTTTTAATCACATAACTGGTAGTGCTGCGTTCATCTTAGCACAGCGGCCTTGTTCATATAAGCTCATTTCTTGTTAAGTTCTTGTTAAAATGGTTGTTAAAGAAATGTAACAAAAATTAAAATAAATAAAAACAAGCAGCCTTCCTTATTTAAGAGTTTTTTAAAATAAAATATTTTTTTAATTATAATTTTTACATTTTGTCTAAAATAAATATTTTTTGTGTTGATTTATGAATCTTGAAGCAATACTAGAGATGAAAGGATAAAAGTCTTCAATATTAAACTGTTTAAAAAATAGCCATGTTTGGTATTTATTGAATGGAATTTACTGGGGAGCCATTTTATAACCTCATATGAATTATATTTTACAAAACATTAAAAAAATGTAAAAAACATCAACATTGTTGATGCTTTCTAGCAAAATTATATATTTTTAAATTCGGGTTTAAATATATTAACTGATCAGCGAAATCATCTAGGTGATCTTTTATTGTAGTAAATTGGTATTCATTGAAAGGCACTCTGTTTGCAATAATTAAATCTTTTTAATTATTTCTTAACTATTTTATAATCAGTTCAACATAATGACTTAAGCAAATTTCAGTTTGTTGATGCAGGTTTTAGTTTAGTTGTATTTATGGCAGACATCATTGTTGGTTCTCTTTTTATATTTTTACACGCATATCAAAAACGAATCTCCTTTAGCATGTAGCAAACAACATGGTTTTCAACCTTTTACTATTTTTTTGCTTTGGTTTCTGAAATATCTGGAGATTAAATGCTTCGAATTTGTTGCTGCTTTTTGCTCTGCCATAGTTTTAAGTTTTCTATTTTTTTATTTTAGCTGAATCAAATGGATAACAAGGAGACGCAGAAAACAAAATCTCAAAAAAGTTTTATAGTCTTTAGTCAAATTAAAATTTATTTCAAGTATAGCTGTTTTTAACTTAATAACATTGTAAATAAAATATTATTAATTTGAAAACATTTTATTTTAAACCACATATGCCGCTTGAACCAAATTTTCAAAAAAAAATGGCATCAGCAGGTTCTAGCCGATAGGATTTTTTTATTCTATCAATGTAAAATGGCGCAATTATAATGAGGTTCATGATTGTTCCTTGTACCAATCTAAAAACCCTGACAGAAAACATCAAAGTTTCGAAAAATTTGATAACCTCAGACACTGTGAAACTGGGACTTGATGGTAAAGGGTCCTTTTTCAAAGCTAGTTTGAGTCTAATTTTTGATTACCAAACAGAACAACAAAGTCCAGTAAAAAAGTCGATTAAGTTGGCTTCAAGTGAAAATTTTAAAAGGACAGGTGTCAAAAAGCAACTAATTGTAGCAATCTCTGAAAATACCCTTGAAACATTTGGCAATATCAAACTGATAATGGACCTAATGCAAGTTAATGAATTAACTGATAAATTGATTCTGTCATGTGACATAAAGCTTGCAAATATTATCTGTGGAATTCAGTCTCACAGTAGCAAGCATCCTTGCTGCTGGTGCAACATTGAGTCGACAAACTTGAACAACTTTGGCCAGCTCAGAACATTTGGAACAATCAGAGAGCAACATCAAAAGTTTATTTTATCTGGTGCTGATCTAAAGAAATTAAAAGAATTAGAGAATGCTGTTCATCATTAATACTTTAAACGCGGTAGTGGAGTAGCGGTAGAGCGCTCGCTTCATAAACGAGTGGTTCCGAGTTCGATCCCCACCACGTCCCTGGTAGTACCGCGCTCAACTCGTTTCTCCGCGCAGCGGCCTTGTTCATCAAGGTTCGTGTTTCGGAGTTATAGAGTTGAGAGAGGGTTTTAACCACAAATAAGTAGCCTCCTCGTCTGTAGTGGCCTTCTCGGCCTTGAGGAGGTGAATTGAAATAAAAAAAAAAAAAAAACTTCCATTCCCAGATGAAAAGCTAATCTTAAAAGCTATTCCTTCAATGGAACTTCATTTGCTTCTTGGAATTTTAACCATCTTATCAAGCACTTGGTTCAAGTTTTGGCAAAAACGAAAGAATGGTTGACTTCAATACATATACCATTACAGCCGTACCATGGTGGTCACTTCAATGGCAATGATTGCGTGAAGTTACTGAAAAAAATTGACATTCTGAAACAGATAACCGTGGCTGATACGGCATTTGAATCATCTATCTGCCATGTTCTACATTTGTTTTTCCAAGTTGTTAATTCTTGTTTTGAATGCTCACTTTGAGAAAAAGATTAAGAGAGTTTAAGAGTTAAAAAAGAGTTTAAGAGCAGTTATCTAAAGTTAACTGTTTCTGTCACACCAAAAGTTCATGCTGTCTTTTACCATGTTCCACAATTTCTAAAGCAGCATAAAACTGGTCTTGGAATTTACAGTGAGCAAGCAACAGAGGTAATCCATTCAAACTTTAAGCCTCATTACCAAAGATTCAAAAGGATTATGTCTTATCCAGATTATTCCAAACAGCTGTTTAATTGTGTTGTTGATTACAATAGCAAAAAAGGGTTCAACAAAGATATTTGTGATAACTAAATTTAGAAATGTTGCGAATAATAATTTTACATACTTATTGTGTATTTTTTTATTATCTATTTATTTTTTTGTAGCAATATAATAAAATATATATTGAAATTATTTGAGCTAATTTAGGCTTTAGAATTCCAAAACTAAGTATTTGAGTAAGTAAGTAAAAAAATTTGGTAATTTCAAAGCTAAATTTCTCCCTTGGATTTTTCATCTAGGATTTTAAAATTTATTGTTTTGGAGTCCCCAATATATATAGAATCAAATCTCAAAAGGGCAATTTTAGGATATGTAGTCGTCAAAAAATTCAAAATTTTCAAACTGTGTGCAGTTAGTGTAAATTTTTTAAAAATATAAATATTACATTATATATTTTAACTATTATTTATATGTTTTCTGTTTAGTTGACAGCAATAATAATGAAGATAATGAAAAGCTAACAAGTAAGTTACATTTTAATACCATTTAAATGAATATTATGTAATAACAATAATAGTTAATTTATATATATATATATATATATATATATATATATATATATATATATATATATATATATATATATATATATATATATAAATACATATATACATATATATATATTTTTGTTTGATGTCTGATGATCGCATATAGCGTGAAACTCTGAGTTATGTTACAAATTTAATTTTATTATTATTTTAATATAATATATATATATATATTATATATATATATATATATATATATATATATATATATATACATATATATATATATAATATATATATATAATATATATATATATATATATATATATAATATATATATATATATATATATATAATATATATATATATATATATATATATATATATATATATATATATATATATATATATATATATATATATATAATATATATATATATATAAATATATATATATATATATATATAAATATATATATATATATATATATATATATATATATATATATATATATATATATATATATATATATATATATATACTTTAGAAGAAATCATTATTTAATTTAATATTGCTAAGACATTTAGCAGGTACAAATATAAATAATGTAACTTATTATGGAGTTTTTATTTGGATGTCATCTAAATCAATGCTTAAATGCATTAAACATTGTTGAAAATGGTCTAGAATAGAACCTGTTGATGGTAACTAATATTTACTTTTTGAATTCAGTTAGATCTATTCTAATAAACCTTTTAAATTAACTTTTGCATTTGCATTTCTCAATCTTTTTTTAAGTACTTATGCTTATTTTTACCTGATAAAAACAAAAATTAAGAAAAAGTTCAAGCAAAAAAGTTATTTGGTTTTTTATTCATTAAACAGTTTTTACTCATTTTTACTTAACTACCTTTGTTTTAGAACGTTGAGGATCCATAAGTGCCAAATGAATCAATGAAGAAGTTCTTATATAATAGATAACTAAGGCAATCCAGTTTGGATCAAATGTCATATTACTGCTTGAAATGGTTTGGGGAAAGAACTTGTCCTATAATTATAACAAAGTATAACTTTAAACACACTTTTCTATAAAGAAAATTTTAACAAATGTTCAATGTTAATGTAACTTAATAGAACATATTTTATATCTTATGAACTAATATTAAACATTTAATGAACTATTATATCTTATCTTATTATATGAAATCTATAAACCTTTTTTGAAAGAAAATTTGAAAAATCATTTTTGATTCTTATTTTACTTCCTTTTTTCAAAAACTCTGAAAGTGCTTCCAACTCATCTTGTTTTTCGCTAAAAATAATGTAAAGTATATTTTAAGATGTTGATACAAATAGTGTTGCAGTATAAAAATAATCAAAAAACAATATTTGATTGTAAAAAACAATTAACTGTTAAGTGTTGAAAACATTTAAATATTGTCAAAAATGCAAAAGTTATCAATAGATGCAACTTTTATTAACAGCAAAAACAAAAAAATACAAAAATAGTTATATTACTGAATACTTATAAAATATTATTATATAGCTACAACAGATGTAAATACAGTGTGTGTGATTTTAATATCAAATGTTTCAATGCGATAGAACCATGTTCTAATTCAGTCTGGCGAATGTCGAAATTTAGAATAAAAAGTTTTATACATTAGAAAAATAAAAGCTCATAAAATAGGTTTTGAGAAAAATATCTTATTTGTAAACAATCTAATGATTTTTAAATTTCAAGCTTTTCAGTGTTAAGTTTTTGTAGTAAACTTTCTTCTCAATCAGTTTTAGTAGATTAACGCAAAACAAGCAATTTGATTTAAAATAAAGAAAATGTAAAAAAGTGAGAGTAGCTTTAAGTTAATAAAATTTCTTATCTGAAGGCAATTTTTCTAAATACTACTAAAAACTTTCTAAATACTACTAAAAACTTTTTTATTTCAATTTTTTTTTTAAATTAATTATTTTAGGTGCCCCACACGGCTGTTTCAGAGTGGACATACGGCTTCTTGTTATTTTTTGAAAATAATTACTTAAGGGGTGTTACTAAAACTTTCATAACTTTTGAAATATTAAAGATAAATACGTTCTGTAAAAGGAATATGAACACTGACTAAATGTTTTATATTTTATTATTCAATATAATAATCCAAGGCTGCTCCGATTTTTAAATAAACGCGCAAAATGATGAACTTGGCAGAATTTCAAAATTTTAAAGGTACTTTTTAGCAAAAATAATCGGAAAAATTATATTTCTGTTGACTAATATGTAATATAAACATAGTTAGACCATTTATAAAACATATTAACATTATTTACACTGAATGCAAACTAATACAGGCACTACAATAGACGAAATAAAAAAATCACAAAAATTTTTTTTTTTTTAGCCACGAGAGAAAAAACCCGCCAAAGTTTGTTTTATTTATACACTAAAATTTGTCTCGCTAAAAAAGCTGTTTTAATAATTTTTATTTAATAGTGAATTGGGAAGTAACGCACTTAAAGTTACGTCATTACTTTAAAATGTAAACAAAAATTTTTCGCATGTAACTACAAATTTTGTTGCTAAAAGCAACAAGCTTTGTCAAGGTTGAAAACGTTTTAGTAAGAAGTACAGAAAGTAATTTTTTTGATTTTCATATGCATAAAGGGTTGTAATTTCAATATTTTGGTGAACTTGGGAAAAATATAACGTTTTTCATATAAAACAAGTAATAACAAAAATATAAAAGCTAAAAAATCTAACTTAAATTTTTTTTTTTATCCATGTTCACCAAAAATCTGATAAAATAGACATTCGTTTATAAGTATGTAAAATTTCAATCATAAAGCATGTAGCTTAAAATATCTAATCTTGATTGGCCCAAGACAGGTTTTCATTAAAATACGCAAAAAACAGAAAAGTGATCCCAAATCATTAGCAAAATTTTTACAACTTTAATTTTTATTCCGTTTAATCAGAATACTTATTTAACAAGGAAAGATAGATGTTTCATTTTTTTTTTATTAGAACACAAAAGCGTTTATAGAAAAAAAAAACCACTACTTTAAAGTTATTGAATTTTTATACGAAATTTTTAAAAAACTCTTTATGCGGAAATTGTTTTTGCTAAACTCGTGACGTAATGCCCAATTTTACATTGCGTGAAACAGCCGTGCCCAAGAAGTCTATAGGGTCTTATCGGGAGGCGGAAGAACATTTGAAAAAACATTTGAACATTTGATCACGCCTCCTTACGGCTGCTCCAAATTTCCTTCAAGGGATGAGAAATCCCAAAAAGAAATCCAGTCGTGAAAGTCATAAAATCAATTTTTTTAATTATTTTGATTTGACTGAGAATTTTATTTGCAGTTGACGCAACTTTATCTACTTGTTTTTATGATTTACGATCTCGACTTATTGTAACTCCTTGGTCTATTTCTACTATTGTTGTCGTTAGGTCTTGTTTTGCGTTCGATAGTGGATCTAGCATGTTGCTCATTTTTTATCGTCGAATGTGCATCTTTCAATTTGCTAATATTTAGTTGCTTTACTAAGTGTTGCACCAATCAAATATTCTGTCGAGGTTGTCTTGAAGGCTTTTAGTTTCAAGCTACTCGTTTCCTGTTTGGCTTGGTACCATCAGTTTAGAGTTATTTACAAACATTTTGCAACAAGAGTTAATGCCGTCTGGGAGATCGTTGATAAAGATGACAGATAGAGTTAGTCCTAGCACTGATCTTTAGATGACACCACAAGACACTGGCGCTCATGTTAATTTGTCTCCTAGCAGTGACAGATTCAGGATCTTTTGGTGTTTGAGATACCTAACTCCTAGACATGGAGCAAACTCCAAACATTTGTTTGTTTATACTTATGTCAAATAATGATGCATTGCAAAAATTGCGATAATTTGAGGCTGGGAACAAAAAAGCCCTTTAACTTTATCTCGCCCCCTCCGACCCAATCATGAGGGGCATCAAGTTAATAAAATATTTTTTGTAGTATTTTAAGTTTCATATATTATCTCTCGGCTTTCATATAACTATATATATACCAGTGCCGGATCAAGGGTGGGGGGCTACAGCTCCAGTCCCCGCAAATTTAGGGGCCCCCAAAAATTTGAGAGGACCTTTTTTCTTTAGTCATTTTTAGTCTTTGGCCCATAAAAAGGTCTCCAAAAACAAAAAATAGCCCCGGGCCCCAAGAAGTCTTAATCCGCCATTGGTATAATATATATATATATATATATATATATATATTATATATATATATATATATATATATATATATATATATATATATATATATATATATATATATATATATATATATATATATATATATGCAAAAGAAACGATGCTAGAAAAAAAGAAGCTTTGGTTAAAAGTTAAACGATTACGCAACAATGGTAAAGTTACAGTAATTAAATTTGAGCTTGTCAATAAAATAAATTTCTCTCTAAAATCTCTCAAATAAATTTGATAAAACTTAATTACTGAAATTATACCTTCGTTGTGTAACCGTTTAAACTTCATCCCAAGAAGAAGTTTAGTTTTTCAAAATCGATTGTTTATTTAAGAAGGTTAAAATAGCGAATCGCTTAAAAATAACTTCGCGCGTTTTAGTTAATTCGCGAAGTTAATTTATTAAGCGATGCGCTATTTTAAATAAACAATAAATTTTGAAAAAGTATAATTTAATGTTTTTAAATTTTGGCAAATATTTCACGTAATGACTTTTCTGATGCAGATTTGCATTTTTTTTATCGGGAAAAATTTAGTTCATCTTTTTTGAAATAAAAACATTTAAAAGCGAACTAAAAACTTTAAAAAGTAATTTAACGTTAATACACATTAACATAAGAAGTAACGGACAAGCTTAAACAATTTCTTATGGAAATGTGATTATTTATTCAGCACGACACGCCTAACAGAACCGTAGTGTTCTGACAAAACATGTAGAATAAATTCAAGTTTTGAAATTCCTAAAGACTAACAAAAGGATGGGGGAATTATAACTTATATTCGGAATGGTCAAGTTAACAAAATGAGAGATGACCTTTCGATCTCAGATGCCGATAGAGAGATTTTTAAAATTGAAATAAATAGCAACAAATCAAAAAACATACTGGTTGCCACATGTTACCGACCACCTGAAGGTGTTTTATTGATATTTTTCAATCATTTAGAACCAACATTTATAAAAAACAACAATGAGCAAAAAATATATATTCCGTATTAGAGACAAATATAGGTTGTTTACAATATGACAAACATGACAATACTAAACTTTTTTTAACGAAATGCGTCAGCATTACATCTTCTCAATTATTAACAAACCAAATGACTTCAACTTCAGTCACTGAAATATACTAACTATAACAATAGAAATATACTAACTCAATTTTTGATGTTTCTCTAAAGACAGGAATTATAAAGACAGATATATTTGATCGTTTTTCTATTTCTTCTTCTTGTCACAATATACAAAACCTATTAAAACAATTAATAGATTTTGTTTGCAATTTTAAATTTACCACTATTAACTTTAGTGATAAAATTAAAGTTAAGTATAAAAGGAAAATTACCAAATTTCAATAAATTAAAGACTCACTGTCGGCAGAAGAGTGGGATAAGGTATAAAAAAGAATGCAGCCTTGGGCACACTAATTCAGCTTAAAATAACTTTCAAACAAATTTTTTAAAAAAATAAAAAAACGTTCTTCCCAAATCCCAAAGTAAAATTACTAAAAGAAAAATGTTTAACATGTCCTTGGATCACAAAAGGTATAAAAAAAAATTCTCAAAAAAAATTCTCAAAAAAACAACTTTATATCAAATACTTAAAAAAAAGAAATGAGACAAACCAAAATGTTTACAAACAGTTTAATAAAAAACTCTAATGATGATATTAAAAAAACTTGGGTTATAAGAAGTAATTGAGATTAAAACCTGCAAATTAAGTAGTTTACCTTATAATAAAAAACTCTAATGATGATATTAAAAAAACTTGGGTTATAAAAAAATAATTAGGATTAAAACCTGCAAATTAAATAGTTTACCTTCTCAAAATATCATAGACAATAAAAAGTATGACAACAATAATGCATATTTAGAAAACTTTATCAGTTTTTTTTGTTTACATAGGCCCAAATCTGCCTTCAAAAGTTCTTTGTCTACACAACTCATTTGATACTTATCTAACTAGTGTCAACAAAGAACTAAAAGTTGATGAACTCGAAAATGCAATAAACTCAAATAAAAAAGTCTCCATGTATAGATGACATTTGCAGCAATATTGTCGTTAATGTCTTTTCAGAGATA